TTGGACTCCCGCTACGGATGGATGTGATTGTGAGTGAGAGCGAGTATGTCAAAACAGCAGTGGTGGTGAATGATCCCAGTCTCGATGTGTTGTGTGTAAGGGAGTGCTCGGATGAGTATGGCGTGTGTGTATGGCTGAAGAGAGACTTCGGCGAAATGTATGTCGTGTCCGTGTATTGCCGGTTCGGTGAGGACATCGAGCCGTACCTGGCGTACATGGACAGGGTGCGAATGGCAACCAGAGGAAAGCGCGTGCTGGTGGGTATGGATGCGAATGCCGTCTCTCCTTTATGGTACAGTAAGGGTAGGGGCGGCAGTAGAGAAAGTGAAATGCGTGGCAGAGTGCTTGAGGAGTGGATTGTTACGAACGGTATGATTGTGTTGAATGAGCCGAGCGAGAGTTACACGTTTAGCGGACCCAATGGGGAAAGCGACATTGATGTGACTCTCGTAAGCGATGCGTTTGGGGGGTGCCAGTTTGAATGGGGAGTTAAGAGTGATTGGGGTATCAGCAACCATAATGTGTTGCTGATACGTATGACCTATGGTGAGAATGCTGAGCGGATGGAAGGTATGCGTAGATGGGTGTGTAAAGACGTGGACTGGGAGGGCTTACATGAGCGATCTAGTGGAGTATGCGTCGGAGGATGCTGTGAATGTGATGGATGACTGGAACGCGGAGAGCTTGGCGGAGCGCGTCACATCATGGATCCTGAGGGCGAATGACAAGAATGAAAAGGCGAGTGTGTGGGGTTGCGAGGAAGCTTGTGTGGTGGACGGATGAGCTTGAGCGCATGAAGAAGGATGTGAGGAAGTGTAGGCGTGCCTACCAGCGAATGAGAAGGAGAGATAAAAGTCGAGTGGAAGGATGTCTGAATGCGTACAAACGTACTCTCAGAGAGTACAAGAGAGCGATATGGAGATTGAAAGAGCAGAACTGGAGACAGTTCGTGAGTGACAAGGGAAATCGGGATCCATGGGGTAATGTGTACAAAATGTGTATGGGTAAGTACGGACGAGACAGACTGAGTGCTATGAAGGTGGGTGACAGGACAACGAGTACGTGGAAAGAGAGTGCGAATGTGCTGCTAGATCGCTTCTTCCCGGACACGGGAATGGATGATGTACGACTGGCAAAAAGAGAGATAATTGAAAGAACGTTCGAGTGGAATGAAGTGGATGTGGCTGTGAGGGCGATGAAAGTGGGTAAGGCACCCGGGTTGGATGGAGTAACAGCGGAAATGTTGCGTGCCGTTTGGCGCACAATTCCAGGATGGTTGAAGAGAGTGTATGATGTGTGTCTGAGTATCAATCGCTTTCCAAAGGTGTGGAAGAAAGCGAGAGTGGTTGTACTGCTGAAGTCCCCAGAGAAAGTGCGGTCGGACCCCGGGTCGTACAGACCGATCAGCCTGTTGTCTGTGCTTGGGAAAGTGTTGAAGCGACTGATGGTAAATAGGCTGGAGCGATTGATGAGTGACAGAATGTGTGAGGCACAGCACGGGTTTGTGAAGGGACGTTCAACCGAGAGTGCGTGGAATAGCGTGCGTAAGTGCGTGAGTGGGTCCGGGCACAAGTATGTGTTGGGAATTTTTGTGGACTTCCAGGGTACCTTCGACAACCTGGAATGGCCATGTGTGATTGAAAAACTGCGTGAGGAAGGATGTAACGAGATTGGGTTGTGGGAAAGTTATTTTGATGAAAGACAGGCATGTACGATGGGAACAAATGATGAAGTGTGGAAGAGGGTTCGGCAAGGTGCACCGCAGGGGTCCATCTGCGGCCCAATCATTTGAGATCTGCAGATGGACAGACTCCTGTGGAGACTCCGCGGACGAGGATGCAAGGCGACGGCGTATGCCGATGATCTGTTCGTGCCTGTCGAAGGACAGAGCCGGGCGGATCTGGAGAGAATGGGAAACGAGTGGATGAGGATAATGAGCGAATGGGGTGCGAGTGTCGGTGTGAAAGTTTCAGAGAGCAAAACAGTCATGATGCTCCTGAAAGGGAATATGTCGGAAACGAGACACCCGAGCGTTAGTGTGAATGGGAAGCATGTGAGGTATGTGAAATGTGTGAGATATCTGGGTGTGTGGGTGAGCGAGCGAATGAGCTTTAAGCCGCACCTGGAGCGTATGAGACAGAAGTGTGTGAGCGTAGTGGGAAAGTTAAGACGAGTGATGAAGAGCGAATGGGGATTGCGAAAGAGAGCATGGCGTGTGATTTATAAGGGTTTGTTTGCTGCGTGTGTTATGTATGGTGTGTGATATAAAGCCATGGAGTACGGATATGCGTGAGTGGCAATCAATAGATGCCAAAGAGTGGCGATGAGCGCCTGTTTGAATGTCTGTAGAACGGTCTCCACGGAGGCCACGCAGGTATTGATGGGTGGTCTTCCGTGGGACCTGGAGTGCGTGAAAAGAGGTATGACTGTAAGAATTAAGAATGGCTGGAGATTGGGCGAAAGAGGTATTATGAGTGAAGAGGATGTAAGAACGAGAGATGTGGATGAGAGCTGGAGTTGTTGAATGCTAGGTTGTATGAAAGATGGCAGAGTGAATGGGACAACAGTGCGAATGGACGAGTGATACATGGCTTCATACAGGATGTGAGGTTTGCCGAGGTTTGTCTGGGATTTGAGCCGAGCCTAGATCCGACCAGTGATCTAGACTGGTACCACGAGGACCGGTCGCCCAGGGAGCTTGCTCCCGCCGGTCGCGGGTAGGACCATCGTGGCTCGGCTATATCTTGGCGGCCGCGGGACATGGCAGATCCTCGAATTCGGGCAGTTCTTCCGGCGGCGGTGGTGGTGCCAACAATTCCTCACCGTCGTCGAACGGCGGTGGCGGCGGCGGCGGTGGTGCTATGATCGGGGGATGCGGTAACGGAGCGATGATCGGTAGCGGTGGTAGCGGCGGCGGCGGTGCTCTGGGCGGAGGAGCTGGTGCGGGTGGCATGCCTCCCGGTGGAAACGGGGGTCGTGGTAACTACGGGCCAGGTTCGCCGCCGACGGGATCCCTGCCGCCGTTCTACGAGTCCCTGAAGGGTGGCAACAACCTCGCGAACTTCGCCAATCAGTACAACAGCTCTCAAGGAAACGCGTATCTCACACCTTTGACGGCCGTCGGGATCGAATGCGACACTGGGCAACAGGATAACTCTCAGTACGCGCAGTACAACGCGCAAGAGGGCAAACAATACTCTCTCCTTCAGAATGTTTGCGCGAACGTTTGTGCGTCCTACGGTCTGAATTTTAAGGAAGAGGAAGAGGAGCTAGCGGGTTACAAAATTCAGCCGAACGACCTGCTGTCCACTCAATATGGCACCTACGATGTCACCGATACGGGCATGATGGTAGACATGGTAACTGGTGCCATGGTGGTGGATCCGCTACAGTTCACCGCAGCAACCTTGACCTTCAACTCGCCGTCTGATCACACGGCGCTCCTCGAGACTCTCAACGATGCGGCGGATCTTCTGTTGCCCAGGCTGCAGACCGAGGACGGCAGCAGCGATCTCCTGGAGGAGTCGCTACACTCGCCTGCCTCGACCGGCAGCAGTGGGATCGGTCAAGACGCCGGTCAGATGACCACTCCCGTTGAGCCTAGCGTCGATCCTTTCCCCGAGCATAGCATGGCCTTGACCAGAGGCTTTGACACGAGACACTATACGACTCCGCAACACTTCAACGCGTCCAAGCTTGCGGGATTGAGCTACGCGGCCGGTGAGACGAGCTATCAGTCGCTTCAAAAGGAACGTCCAGAGCTCGGATTGCATGTCAACCAAAATCATCAGCATCAGCAGGAACAGCAGTTGCAGATTCAGGTGCAGCTGCAGCAGCAGAAGCAACAGGCTACGTCGCCGCACCAACAACAGCAACAGCATCAAAGTCTTCTGAGTCCCGGATTGAATTTCAATAATGGTTTAGAGATAGACTCCGGTAGCAGCGTAGGCGTTAGTTTACCCAGCCCCGGGACTGCGAGCTGTTCCTTGGACGGCGCCTCGACCGGCACTTCACCGTCATGCGGACTGGGAGAACACGCGCATAGTCCAGTTGTGTCACCCACCACAGTCGCAGCTCAAGCCGCCGGATCGCTGGGTTTACCAAGCGATTGTCAACTAGAATTTGTTAATGGTGGTCACGGCATAAAAAATCCTCTAGCCATCGAGGGTCAGAGACAGGCGGCAGCTACTCGAGATGAGGAAAGAACTAATCGCACTCCGCCTAGCAAGGACGACGATCCCAGTCGCTTTACCTGTCGCGTGTGCAGCAAAACCTTCAGCCTTCAGCGGCTTCTTAATCGTCACATGAAGTGTCACAGTGACGTGAAACGTTACTTGTGTACATTCTGCAGGAAGGGCTTCAACGATACGTTTGATCTCAAGAGGCATACACGGACGCACACAGGTGTGCGACCCTACAAGTGCTTCCTCTGCGAAAAGAGTTTCACGCATCGGCTTGACGGGTCACGGCAGTTTGAATGAGTTCTTGCATAAAAGGGTATTGTCTGAGACTGAAAGTTGTGCGTGTGGTGCTAAATGCGAGGATTGGAAGCATGTGATGATTGAATGTAAAATGTATGAGGACATCAGGAGCTTGGATGAATGGGGAGTCAGGGTGAGTGAGGATGGTAGAGTGGATGTGAGCGAGGTACTGGAGTGAAAGGAAAGATACGAGAGTCTGAGCAGGTTTGCGACATGTGTGTTTCAGCAAAGAATGAGTGGAAATGCGTGAGACGTGTGAATGCGGCTGATGATGATGCATCTTCATCTTCTGATGAAGAAACCACACACCACAGAAAGAACTCACACAGCCAAAAAACCGAACTCAGAAGAAAACTACGGACTCAAAAAATATTCCTACACGTCCCGTTCTTTTACCTTTTTGAAGAAGTGAAATTTGAAATAGCCAACTGCGTCAATTTCCACGTTCTCAGACGTGACGGCTGTCTCGTACGTGGTCCTGAGTGGTATGGGCCTGGATCGCATAACATTGATTGCATAACAAGAACTGCCCAGATCGTTTGACTTCACTGTGCGTGGAAGGGTGGCTACCAGACGTGCCGGTGGCAAGGAGAGATGAAAATTAAAACAAAATCAGCAAGAGATTAAAAGAGGAATAGATGCTTTACTGGCATCAAATGACAATATAAATATAAATAAATTCAGTCGTCTACTTTCAATTATTCTATAAAATTTTTCAACGATATTGATAAATCTTTTGCGTTGAAACCAATCTGATCCTTTTTTCAGGATCCCCGCACCTTTCAATATTGGTTCAATGGAAAGTTGATAGTGCCATTGACCAAGTGGTGTGGCACCGGCAATGTGGCTGAATCGTACGATGATTTAGGCTCGGCGCAGGCCATAGATGCGTGCTGTCGCGCGCATGATTTTTGTAATTTGACAATTGAGCCAGAGTACTGCAGCTTAATAAATGAAAAACATGAGCAGTGCAACAGTATGTCATATACGATGTCGCACTGTACAGCTGCGA